TGACAGATGATTGACAGATGATTGACAGGTAACAGCTGATGACAGATGATTGACAGATAATTGACAGGTAACAGCTGATGACAGATGATTGACAGGTAACAGATGATTGACAGATTTCTCGTCCTCCGGTGGCGAGGCCATAAAGGATCGGCTCTGATACCGGGTCTGTGTCCTGTCCAGGTTCTGGACCACGCCATCGAGACAGAGAGGATGATTGAGAAGTACGAGTCTCTGGCCTCGGACCTGCTGGAGTGGATCGAGCAGACCATCATCATCCTCAACAACAGGAAGTTTGCCAACTCTCTGGTGGGGGTCCAGCAGCAGCTGCAGGCCTTCAACACCTACCGGACTGTGGAGAAGCCTCCAAAGTCAGAACCCTTGTCTTCTGTCCTCTCCTACACCCTGCTGCTCTCATGTCTGTAAGCAGGTAACTCACCTGTCCGGTCAGCTGATCTGAGCTGTGCCCCGCCCCCTCAGGTTTACGGAGAAGGGGAACCTGGAGGTCCTGCTCTTCACCATCCAGAGCAAGATGAGAGCCAACAACCAGAAGGTCTACATGCCTCGTGAAGGAAAACTCATCTCTGACATCAACAAGGTGAGAACGATTGTCCTGACCAATCAGAGGAGGGGTCAGAGGTCACCTTCAGGTTCTCTGCTCCTCCTGTCCACAGGCGTGGGAGCGGCTGGAGAAGGCGGAGCACGAGAGGGAGCTGGCCCTGAGGACCGAGCTGATCCGTCAGGAGAAGCTGGAGCAGCTGGCCAGGCGCTTCGACAGGAAGGCGGCCATGAGGGAGACCTGGCTGAGCGAGAACCAGAGGCTGGTGTCTCAGGTGGGCGGAGCCACACTCACCTGCAGCTCACCTGTCCTCTGACTGCTTCAACCCGCCCACTCTCTGTCTTCAGGACAACTTTGGTTTTGACCTCCAAGCCGTGGAGGCGGCCACCAAGAAGCACGAGGCCATCGAGACGGACATCGCCGCGTACAAGGAGCGCGTCCAGGCCGTGGTTGCCGTGGCCAAGGAGCTGGAGGCGGAGYGTTACCACGACATCAAACGCATCGCAGCCAGGAAGGACAACGTGACGCGGCTGTGGGAGTACCTGCTGGAGCTGCTGAAGGCCCGCAGACAGAGGCTGGAGATGAACCTGGGTCTGCAGAGGGTTTTCCAGGAGATGCTCCACATCATGGACTGGATGGACGAGATGAAGGTCCGCCCATGGCCTGCCACAGGCCCCGCCCCACCCAGACCCCGCCTCTAACTGCTCCTCTGTCTCTTCCAGATGTTGCTGCTGTCTCAGGACTATGGCAAACATCTGCTGGGGGTGGAAGACCTGCTGCAGAAACACGCCTTGGTGGAGGCCGACATCTCCATCCAGGCCGACCGGGTGAAGGCCGTGGTCACCAACGCCAACAGACACTCTGTGTGCGACAGCGGTGAGGGCCACGCCCCGTCCCACTTCCTGTGTCACACCTACACCTGGTCAGGTGTCAGGAAGTTCAAGGATCCACGATTAGTTGTAACATTAGACTTTCTTTGATAAACATTTATTTAAACTGTAAAATAAAGACTAAAAATACTGTAGTTTAGTTTTTATCATTTTTAAAAATATATTTTATCACGGACGGAGCCATTTTATTTACATGCAAAGCATTCTGGGTAAATGACGTGGATAGGTCCTCGGTGTGAGCGAGCTAAACCTGAAGGTTAATCTTGGACAATACAGTATCTGATGATTGGTTCTTTTAAATGAAACCAGAGAGCGTTGCCAGAGAGAAGGTAGAAATGACTCAGCCTAGAACTGGAAATATAGATGGAGGACAACAGAGCTGCTTCATGGAAGAAGAACCTCAGCTTAGCCTGTTAGCCTTCACACTAGCGCCAACACTACATTCACCGGCCACTTTATTAGGTACACCTGTCCAACTACTCGTTAACACTTAATTTCTAATCAGCCAATCACATGGC